CTCGCGGTCTTGGGTAGCTTCCCTTTGCTCGGAGGGTCTTGTGCTCCGGCCGGGGCCTTGTATCTTAGCCTGCCGTGGCACTACCGGTCGTTTAGGGGCCCATCACATTGGTCTTATGTTCTTTTTGCTTGCTCTGAGGATCCTATACTTGTTGACGAGAGCCTGTTTGTTCGCCTCCTGCACCACCCATGATCGCTCAGGTTTCGTCCCTATTGGCCTTGGTGCATTAGCCTTAGAGCAGGAGTCGGGTATGCGCGATGAATTTTTACGCGCACCTGTCAGACGTAATTATACGTGCCCCAGACGTCGTACGTGCCATTTCCCTTTGGCGTTGACCGTGTGACTTATTATACTTGTGCACCACGTTTTCAGCATATGTTGGACGCTAGGATATTTTCAGCTGGTGGCTAATGACTGATACAAAATTTTTCCCTTGCTACAAAGTAGTACATACATATATATATATATATATATATATATATATATATATATATATATATATATGCGTGATGCGCGCGCGCGCGCGCGCGCGCGCGTGTGTGTGTGTGTGTGTGTGTGTGTGTGTGTGTGTGTGTGTGTGTGTGTGTGTGTGTGTGTGTGTGTGTGTGTGTGTGTGTGTGTGTGTGTGTGTGTGTGTGTGTGTGTGTGTGTGTTACATACTATTAATATAAACAATTATTGGTCGAAATGCGAGAATTTTTTGGAGGGGGCTCCAAACTTTTTGGGGGTCCCACAGTGTTTCGTGCCAGCCCCTTGACAAGATCTTGGATCTGTCCCTAAGTCTATTCATAGGAAGGCTTCTGCTGTTGTTTCGATAAAGGCATATTGCTGAAATATCGACTCATTTATATCCTATTCTCGTGGTTTTTCTCCAAAGGAAGATTGCCTTGAAGGAAATATAAATCCCATGGCGCACGACGTCCCAGGAGTGTTGAACATATGGGCATAAAGACATTAATGCATTAAAGAAAAAAATCGGAGGCCTGGTGATCCCTAAATTGATTTTCATATAAACCTAAGCACAGTTCAAAAATCAAATTAAGTGCTTAATAATGACGGCTATCTAGCGTGACAGATCACACAAGGTGGACAGTGATGTACTCTTCCTGAGTGCAAAACAAGGAGGCTTGGGAGCACCGTCCGTGCTTTGCCTTTACAGCAGTGAAACAGCTGGATCGTCGGCCGTCATCCGGCGTACATCCCCGTGGCGATTCATTTCCCGAAGGCGTCTGGCGCCGCCTCCAGTAAATACACTGTTCAGGAATGGATTTAGTGAAGAGGGTACTGTTAAAAGCAAACTAAGCGGTTCTTTCCAGACCCGCTCCAAAGATTGAGGCTTGATTCGCCCAGCCTCAGCCGGATGCGACACAGCTAGTGAGGGATGAGATACTGTGGCTTCATGATCGCGTCCTGGTAGGAAATCGTCCTGCTTTTCATCGTCGCTGGGATCTCTGGGGTACAAGACCCATTCACGACGTCATTGGTGGACAAAGACGATTCTTCAAGTATGACCAACTGCGTGCGAAGCATCCTGATTGCCGGATTGACCCGTTACTGTGCCAGGGTTAAGTTAATGCGATTTCCGCGAGGTGGAAGTTGTTGTTGATGTAAGTCGCAAAGTCACGACGGATGTCTACGGGAGCGGGAGATGCGCAGGTGTCCTTAAAAGCAGGGTAACAAGAGAAGTCACTCACTGCTTTAAGCTCTAAAGAGCTGTACTCTTTTTGGGATTAAAGACACGCAAACCGAAAGCCCTCCTCAGACCGAAATCGGAGGGACTGGCCCGGAGGCATGGATAAGGTACCTGAATTCGCCTAACGCGACTGAGACTGCGAGCCCGCGAGCACGTGGGTACCCTTCGGGGTACCCACGTGCTCGGGCACTATTTCATGCGCTTGTGATCAATCTAATGCTCAAAATCCCAAATGGCGTGGTAAGTTTTGGAGTGACATGAAGTTTCTGTCATTTGACCTAGAATGCGACCTAAATGGTCACGAGATATTGAAAAACTAGACATCAGGTTCGAAAATACTATGCTGTAACTGACCATCGGTGGCGTTTTCATGGAAATGGGAATTCGTCGCTAAATAAATCGCTAACTGCACGGACATGGTAACAATATTTGCAGCAGGTGTGCTCAAAACGACGTTTGTATGGTCCCCACCTGCACAAGTCTGGATGTCTCGTGGCGTCAGGATCGGTCAACAAGGTATTCGTTTGAGGGCGCTAGAGATTTGCAACCACTGATTCGCGATTTTGCAGATTTTGCAAACTGTGTAACTTGAGTTAACTAAGATAAAAGTGCGAGAAGTACAGCGAACGCTTCCATTCAATATTGATGCCGACGTTACATGCATGGAATAAAACATAACCAAGATTATGACAAATGTTTTCGGAGATTTGACTGACATCTTGCCTTGTTTTTCAGTTAATGCAAGCTCTTGTTTGGGACCGTATTTCTGGGTATTATACCCAGGAGGACTACAAGAGATGCAGAACGTTGGCGAGAAATGTGAAAACATTGTGAATTGCACGAGGCGTGAAGATAATGAAAAATAAATGTGCCACTCTGGTAGCACTGCAAACGGTGCTTGTGATGAACAAAAGAAACCTCAAACACCCTGACACAAGCGCTCGTGGTGCGTGAGCTGCAAACAACGTTTTGGTAGTTCACGCAGCGATTCTCACTTAAATGAACATCAACATCAACATGTCCGCAACTTACTCCACTGTAGCTTGTCCTTGCTTCGCGTTTCTGATGAATTTCACTAGGTCTTCTTGTTCTAAGGACAACATTTTGAAGGAGATGAGCTTCGATATGGTGTGGGTCCAACTTACCTCGGGTAGGAGTAAATCGAAGTATGCTGCAAGACCTTATTCGCACGCACACTATTCATGGACGGCATGACCAATCATGCTTTTAACAATACCATTACAACCGGTACAAAACAAGGGTTCGTGCGAGCAATGGCAATTATTTAGTCGGCCAATAGCGTCATTCGTCAGCGTAGCATATCGCTTTTGAGTCCAACCCGCACGCAGAAAAGTTCCTCAAATGACGTTCCAAAGGAGGACCGCATTTCAGGCTCCATGGGATGTCCAGTTTAAATGATTTCTCATTGGAACTCAATCCATAGCGAACATCGGCACCGTGAACATGCATCTTTCAGAGAAACAGGTATTGCAATCATCAGACACGATACAAAGACAGCTACAGCTGAGAGATCCTGCGGGCGCTGCGCGCGTGGAACAGCGTTGTGGTGTCCCATTTATCCACGAGGGTTTAGCAGCTCCCAAATGTTAACTGCGACACAGTCCATACTGTCGATACTCGAGTCAACATTACGTCACGGGCGGCAGCGCCGCTGACACCAACAGCGCCGCCTGCTCGCGCAGCGAAACAAGCGGAAATCACTTTGCGGTTCAAGACGTCAAATCAAGAGGCCATCAAGACGCCGTACATGACACACACAGACATTCTTGCGCTGCCGAACACAGTATTCTGCGACTGAATCGCACCTGAGGGTGAATACCGACGAGGAAAATATTAAACACCAGTTTGCGCCTCGGTACCAGCCTAACCTTGTCAACAACCGACCCGCGCTCAAGGCTGGTGTCAGTGCGGTGCCAGGCTTTTGATAAATACTGCACCTCCACTAAACTCTCACAGCGACCTGGACCAGTGCAACTGTCCATCCTCGACGCCTTCGCGCGATGGGAACTAACTAGAGGTGCAATTTTCGAAACGCCGGGTGCCGACAACAATTTAGACGCATCCGCCACCGACCTCGAAGAGGCGACGCCGCGTCCGTGGTGCCCAGCACCGGGTCCCGCCCGCACCGCATTCCTGGCGGGGCCGTGTTCCCCTGGTACCGGTAGTGCCCCAGGGGCTGCTGGCAGCGTAGCGCCGCCCTCGACATTCCCCGGCAGGCTCCCATCAACCGTACGCCGGCGCAGCCGGGAGCCAGTGACCTTCTGATCTTGAAGTTTCCGATTTCTGCGGCGGTTCTAAGCCCTGAATCGAGCCTTTGTTTCATGCCGGCGTGTATGAGAGACGTGTCGCGTCATCCGGCATTTGGTGGCGCCTTTCAGCGAACCCGAAGCGTCAGTTCGTCGAATGACCATTGTGAACAACGAGCAACGCGATACAACGGCGAGGTTCTGAAATCCCTCATGAATGGCACTTCGCTGAAGCGTGGATTTGGACCATTACACCCAAGCCGGCTTCCGCAGGCGAAAGATACTAGCGGACCCCAAGAGCTGCGTGAAGACGAAGTTCGAGATTCCATCTGAAATGTCCCAAAACAAATCAGAAAAAAATCCAAAAAAGTAAGGCGGTGCCCACAGGAATGCAAACGTACCCTAGCGCCAGTCGTGAAGCCGGGACAATGGCGGGGAATGGGATGACACCCAGTGATGCAAGTGCAATGATCAAGATCGGCGCAGATACAACGCATGGTGCAGGTACCCGAGATGAACGTGCACCCCCACCTCATGTGGCGTCTCATGTGGCGTCAAAAACCGGGTGAAACACGGCACCGGAATTCAAGAACGAGCATACCCGGTACTCCCCTGCAGCGAACTGGTCCAGATGAACAGCATTTATTTTGGAAAAAAACTACACGAGCCACACTGTATGTACAGTGAACATGGGTCGGCCGGCGCCAGAGTCGGCCGCGGTCAGCTCGAGTCAGGGCGCCGGCTATGTACAGCCCCGCCAGCCACAGCGTGGCGAGCCAGGCCGATCACGAACGCGCGCGAACACAGAGCGGGCGCCGGGCCACCGTCCCGCGCGCCGCGCGCCGCGGCGGGCGGGAAACGGCGCGCGAGCGGCGCGGCGGCGGCACCGCCGGACGCGGCGCGTTGGCACACAACACCGCGGCGGGCCCCACGGCCGGGGCCGCGCCGAGCAAGCGTCACGGAATGCGAGCGAGCGAACGAGCGAACGAGCGAACGGGCGAACGAGCGAGCCAGCGAGCGAGCGGGGCGGGCGGCGGGCGAGCGGGCGGGGCCGGCGGTTGGCGGGCGCCGCCCTGAAAGACGCCCCGGGACATTTGTACGCGGTCGAGGCGCGGGGCCGTCGCGCCATACCAGTAGAGCCGACGGCGACGGCCGCCGCCGTCCGAGATCACAGCGCTAGCCGGCGCCGGCCGGCGGCGCGCCGGCGCGCAGCACGCACCCGACCGCCTCCTTCACCGCGTGGTACAGGATGTTCTTGATCTGCAGCTTGTCCTCGTGGCTGGCGTGCTCCGGGCAGCGCAGGCGGCACCGCTGCGCCAGCTCGAAGCAGCGACCGACGCTCTCCGGCGAGACGAAGTCCACGGTGACCTGAACGCCCGAGTGCAGGCAGCGCACTTGGTGCGGCGCGCCGGCCGGCACCAGCAGGGCGTCGCCGGCGCACTGCACCACCGCGTAGCCCTCGACGCCGTACTCCTGCTGCAGCCGGCGGCGCAACGGGCCGTCCAGGTACCAGGTCTGGTCGTGCAGCGGGTCGTGATCCGGTGCCGCCTGCTCACCCCGCTCCGCCGCCACCTGCGCACGGGCAACCCCAGGTCAGACACTGCAACGCCGCCACGGGGCCGGCAGGGCCGGCGGGGTGGATGGCCAGGTGGGTCGGATAGCGCATGTGCACGGCGGGCTCGTGGACACGCGGAGAGTGTGAAAGCGGCGTGCGCATGTCCAACACGGGATGGGGAAGTGCGCAGATGCAAGGCGATAAGTCCGCTGGAGATGCAGAAGAGAACGGCAAAGAGAAACGCCAAGTTGACACGGACTCAGAATTATCAGCTACATTACACGTGTGAGACCCGCATAATAAGTCATCAGCCCAGGCAGACGCTCCAAGTCATGAATAGTGCACATACACCCCACAGCTCGCCACCAAAAGTCGCATGACAATGCGACCAAATGAACGCACGCCACTTGGGCTACCCTCTCGTACGCCTGCCCGGCATTCCAGCGTCGTGCCACCCCCTCCCCCCCCCCCCGCCGGGGAGCAGGCGCAGGCCGTCGTGTCGGCTCGACGGGCGCCGCGGGACTGGCGCCCGTCAGGCGGCCGGCTGTCAGACTTGCGGCCGGTGGGACCGGGCCGGAGGAGACGGGTCCCGGCCGGCGGCGGCCGCCTCCCCCCCCCCCCCCCCCCTCCTCCCCCCGGGAGCCGGCGGGTCCGCAGCCGTCCATCACCAGCTGCATGTGCCGCGCCGCCCGGGAGACAGTTGACCCGGACGGCGGCGGCGGCGGCGGCGCGTGGCCAACGGACGCGGAGCCAGCCCGGCGGACGGCGAGCGCTCTTCAGCGGGCATTGGTGGCGCCGTCTGTTTCCCTTCTCCCCGCCCCGACCTGACCCGCCCCGGTAGACCGCGATGACGTCAGCTGGGGTCGTGTCCGGCGCCGGCAGGAAACGGACGGCCGTGCGACAAGCGACTTAATTGATGAAGCCACCTATCGATGGAGCAGCCATCTCGCCCACCGCATGGGGAGAGAACGACAGCGTGGCGTCCGTCCGACCATCTTCACCCCAAAGATGGGCGATCTTTGACGATCAAAGACGATCAAAGCGTACCGCCATGTTCGCTGGCCGCCCAGCGCTCTGCCGGCGACCAGCGGAAGCTGACCTCGCTGGGGGAGCCATGTGCACATATTTGCAGCGCGATGGTCATATCTGGCCGGCGGAGCGGAGGCACTGCTGGTGGAATGCCGCCCTGACAATGTCACGAGCCGCAATCACATATGCGTCGCTCTGCTTTACCGCACAAACTGTGACTTCTGTTGATATTCTGAAATTTAGGTGGACTAGAAATTCTGACGGATGTTCTGAAATTTAGAACATTTAGGTGGAATTTAGGTTCAATTTAGGTCATCGGTGGGTCAATATGATTGGCACGTCGTTGCTGAAAAGACGAAAGAACCGAAAATGATTGGATTTACCAGCTACACCACCGTAATCCGTCGGACCAGTCCAGCGATGACTTTTTCTTGCCTTGCGGTACTCTCAACGGGCGATGTTCTCAAGTGTTGTTCCGCACTCTCAGCGGGCTCATTAAGTTTCGACCAAGTGGATAGCGTTGCCAGAGCCACAGTTTGCCAGAGGAAAAGAAAAGACGCGCCCCATTCGCCGGGATAATAGAACCGCCAGAATGACACAATTTCGCCAAGAAAAGGCCACAAGCACTTGTGAAACGGCTCCACATTACACTTCGCCGGTCCCCCACGTCCCACAAACCGCCCGGCGCGTGACAGCACACTGTCGCGCGGCGGTAATGCCCGGAGACAGTCAGGACGACCCGACATTCCGATCCGGCAGCGGCGCGGCGGCAGCGACCCCGCGCCCGGCGGGCGCCAGGTGGCGCGCGCCGCGCGCATGCCGCCCCGGCAGCTCCTGGACACGAGGCCGACTAAGATGCATGGCCGCGGGGCATGCGGCGACAAGCGGAACCTTTTAGCGTCAATGAGCACGCCCGGATGGCAGACGCGCACGCGATGACGGGTCGGTGCGCGGGACGGTCGAGAGATGGCGCGCGGGTGGCGGACGGGCAGACGGCCGGCGGGAGACCGCGCCGTCGGTTGGGACGGTGCGGTGCAACGGTGTGAGAGCGCCCCTCTTCCCGTGCCCTGTGTTGACTTGAACTAGCCGCGGAACGCTGCTGCTGGGAAACCGCTCGCTCTGTTCCTCAGTTGTCATGGTTTGGAAGTTCTTCGCCTGCAACTGCGGTTAAGCACCAATGCCTGTCTTCCGGGACTTTGCTCGCCACGAAGGACAGACGCGCACACAACACATCACGCGCCTACTCTGTTCGCCCAACACCTCTCGCCTCCCACCTCTCTCACCCGCGTGGAGACAGAACCGCTCTCACCTTGGTGAGCAGGTCACGGATCTTGTCCGCGTCCGCCGCGTGGTAGATGTGCCACAGGGCCCCCGGCGTCTCATCCTTGACGCGTCGCTTGGTCAGCTGGTCGCAGCCGGCCTCTTCGGCGGCGCGCAGCGCGGCCGCCTCGTCGGCGTCGCCGCCGGCCGGCGCCGCCACGTGCGCCAGGATGTGCACGGCGTCGGCCACGTCCTGGCACAAGCTGGCAGAGCCGCGGCCGGCGGGCAGCGCGCCGCCGTACGTCGCGCACAGCTTGGGCCCCAGGTCGGGCCGCACGAAGCACTCGGGCAGGCAGGAGGCCAGGTTGAGACGGCCGTCGCGGCGCGTGTACTCAGCCAGCGGCAGCGCCGCCGTGAGGTCGGCGAAACGCGCCGGCATCATGTCGGCGAAGTCGTCGCCGGGCGACCAGTCCTTGAGCCTGAGCACCATCGGCCGGCCGTCATCGTCCCTGAGACGCTGCGCCTCGCCCGTGAAGCCCTCCCAGAAGCGGCGCAGCAGCCGGCCGCCGCTGACGGCGCCCGTCGCGCAGTCCACCAGGTCGTGGCGCTCGTCGCCGAAGTCGTGCGCGAACGCGTCGGCCGACCACAGGGACGCGTCGAGCGCGTCACCGACGCCCGAGCAGAGCACCGGCTGGCCGCGCCGCCACTGCTCGCGGAAGAGCCGCTCGGCGTCGACCGTCGCCGAGTCGTGCAGGCGCAGCAGCCGGCCGTCGCAAAGCCAGTCGTGGCGCACGGTCGGGTACAGCCGCGCCGACTCGCTCAGCGACATGGCGCGCGGCGCCAGCGGGGGCGGCGCGTCGCCGTCCTCGGCGCCGGCCGCCTCGCTCGCCGCGTGCGACACCTTGGCCAGCAGGTCCAGCGCATCGACGGCACCCGGGCCGCCCTTCTTCGGCCGCTCCTGCCGACGCGGGCGGGGAGGTCATATCGGGCTGCTGGTGGCGCCACGCCGTGGACAAGCTCGACGTCGCGGCGGGCCGCCGGCGAGCCGCCGTAAGTTAGCGCGGGCTTAAGGCGTCACCACCGGCCAAGTGCACCGCGCAACTTTGGCGGCTCGCGCGGCAAACGTGGCAGCGCCAAGCTTAAACATAGACGAGACGTGGCGGCAGCCGCGAGCCGACCAAGCCCACACAAACGAGCAAGGGTAATGAAGGGGTGCGCTGCTAACGTGGAAGGCAGGGGCATCCCGCATGCAAACTTTGCAGAACAAGCTCTTGTTTACGCGGAAGGCCCCTATAGTTACAGACAGAGCTTTTAAAATCCTATCCGACCACATGGCAAAAAACACATCCATGCCTTCCCACCAGATGCACAGCGATTATACCACCGTCCACCGCGCCAAAACGGGAGTGCGCAGGCCGACAGGCGCACCTTTTTCGCCGGCTTCTCCTCCAGCTCGCCGGCGTCGTTGGTGCGTATCAAGAGTTTGCGTAACGTTGAGACGTCCTTCTCGTTGTCCGGCTCCGACTCGCTCTCGCTGTTGGAGACCTGGGCGGCGACACGAGGCGGCCGTCAGTATCGAGCCGGCGCGACACCATTAGTCAGCGGCCCGCGCGGGCGAATCGTCTGCCCGCGCTGCGACAGCTCCGTTATAGACCTTTGTGACGCGCCGGCCGCCGATCACACGCCGGAACCGGCGCCGCCGGCGGAAAATGGCGCGGGCGACGCCGAACCAGCGACCGACGCCTCCGCGGCGCGCCGGTCCAATCTCGCGAACAACGGCGCGCGCGACGAGGGCCGCCGCCAGTGCCAGGCAGCGCGTCGCGCCCGGGGGCAAGACTGGACACAAAGGCCGAGACGGAGCGAGGGCGGGCGACGCCGCCGAGACATAACAAACGCGCGGGTAGACAAACACCGACAACAGTGCTCCAGTCGAGAATGACGTGAGCTGCCCAGGAGCACAGCGGGCACAGACGGGTTATAGCGTCATCAGGGGCGTGGGCAGGTTCTTCGTAAGCAGCGGGACACGGCAGAAATCTCCGATGAAAATGATGCGCAGTACTGGTAACATTCTGATGCAAGGCAAAACACGAATGTTCAGGAATGTGCATGCACACAAATCCACGAGAGGGCCGGGGGCGCCGTGTGATACTTCTAGACACACTCCTGCGCGTAAGGGACGTCCTTTTCGATCCTATTTACCTGCAGCAAAAAAGAACGGAAGAACAGAAGGAACAACTATCGTTACGCTGCGTCTTGGGTACATCGATACCATCAATGTGTAAATATCAAGAAAACCTATGGAGGGGTAGGACCCCGAAGTTAATCACGAGGGATGATGAAAACGCCAAAAGAAAGTGTTTGCGTTCGCTGCTACAAACTCGCAGACCACGGCTACAGGCCGCCTTTTTGCGTATTGAGGAGATGACGGAATAAAACCATCCTCCCCACTGCAAGCAGACTGAGATTTTCCATGCGTTCTACAGACATGATTACTCGATCCACTTGTCACACTCGGTCGCTCAAATTTGATTTCCCAGATGAGCCTACATTGCAAAAAAATCCAGTGATCAACCCCGTGAAAGCATCAACAAAACCTGATCACTTCGCCAATCGCGGCAGAAATGACGAGGGCCTTCCGGCTGCCGCGCGCAAGCCAATGACTTCATCACGGGAGTTATGGAACGAAAACGATCTCACGGGAAGTTCTCAATCGCGTGCCGAAGTCCACCGACCATGTCTGATCCTCGACCCTGCGGCCACCCCTCGGCCCGTCACCTCGCACTCACATCCGAGTTCTTCTTCGAATCGGAGAGCGCCACCTCGGCGAGCCAGGTGAGCGGCTGAGCCCTGCTTGTCACCCTGCTCTCCCGGCTGGTAGTCCCCGAGCTTGTGCCGGGCGCCGTTGGCCACCTCGCCGGCGTCGGACGGCGGCTGGAGGCGGCGCGCCGCCGCACACCGGCAGGAGGCCGGCAGGCCGGCCAGCAGGCGCGCCTCGTGCACGTGCCGGCCCAGCGCGGCCAGCGCGTCGCCGGCCACGATCTGCGTCAGCATGAGCCGCTGCTGGTCGTGCGGTTGTCGGCTGCTGCACAGCATCCACTGGAAGCGGTCGCGCTCGCGGCCCGGCTCCGGCCGCGCCTGCGCAGTACCGTCCTTGCGGCCGCGGTAGCAGTCCATGCACACGGCGAATCCACACTTGGAGCACACCCAGTGCACGTTGAAGAGCGTCGTCTCGCACACGTCGCACATCTCGCGGCAGCCTTGCACGACCCGCTTCCAGGCGACGGTCTTGTCGGCGCTCATGTGCGCGCACGCCGCCTCCTGCTCGCCGCCGACCAGCTCGCAGAACTGGCCGCCGACGTGCGCCAGCAGCAGCTGCGCCACGTCCTGCTGCATGGCGCCCGGCGGCGGCGACTGGTCGCGGTCGGCCGGCAGCCACAGCCGCTTGTCCTCCTCCTCGGCGTCCTTTTCCGGGTCGCAGAAGCCGGCCACGGTCAGCACGCCCGACTTGGTGTACCGCAGCCGCCGAAAGGCGGTGAAGCGGCAGTAGATGTTGGTCAGCTTCTTGTTGCGCTGGCCCTGTGGGATGCGGCACTCGCGGCATTTGGGCAGCTTGGACGACAGCTGGCAGCAGAACAGATCCTGCACGAAACTGGCGCCCGACTTCTTCAGTTTCGAGATCGACGGCCTCTTGAACGCGTCGGCAGTCACCGTCTTGGGCGGCGACGGCTCCTTCCGCTCCGGCTTACCGCCACCGCGCTTGGCCGCCTTCGCCGGCTTCTCCTTGGTCCGACGGCCGCGCTTCTTGTTGCCCTTGACATCGGCCTTGCGCGGGTCGCGCGGGGGCGGCGTCTCACCGTCGCTGCCCTTGTTGCTGTCCGTCTCGCTACCGTCGGACGACGCCTTCTGCTTCTTCGCCTCGCGCGCCGGCTCCGCCTTCTTGGCCGTCTTGCGGCGCGGGGTCGGCTTCCGCTTGGTCGCCGCGCCGCCCGAGCTGTCGCTGTCGCCGTCGCCATTGACGGTGACGGCCGGCTTCACGTCGGCCGCCGGTGGCGGCGACGGCGGCGAGGGCGCGGCCGGCGCCGGCGACGCCGCCGCCGCCGCCTCCGGCTCCTCGGCCTTCTCCACCTTCACGCTGGCCGGTGGCGAAGGCCGCGGCGGCGCCTTTGGCGTCGCCTCGGCACTGCCGTTGGACAGGTCAGGCGCGTCGGCGCCGTTGAGCGACGCCGACGACGAATCGTCGCCGCCGGCGCCGGCGTGCCGCTGCAGCCAGGCCTTTTTCACCTTGTGCGCGTACGGCCGCGTGTCGGACGGCTCCGGCTTGACAGCCGCATCGGCGGGCGCCGGCGACGACGTGCCGGACGCCGGCGCCGACGCCGTCATGGCGGCCGGCGCCGGCGGCGCTGGCGGCGCCGACCACGCGTCGCGGCCGGGAGCAGCTGTCGGCGCCGGCGCCGCCGGGCCGCCGGCCGCCAGCGTGCGGGCGGCGCTCGTCACCAGCGCGAGCGGCTCGTCGGCGCGGCCCGGCGGCGGCTCGGGCCGCGCCCGCTTGGCCGGCGACACGCCCAGCGCCAGACCCGGCGTCGAGGCCGGCCGCTTGGGCGATTCGACGACGCCGAGCGCACGCGAGCCTACGCTCAGGTCGAGCGTCTGGTGGAGCGCCGGCGGCGTGGCCGGCCGGCGGCCGGGGATGGCATGCGCCGGCGGCGGCGGCCCGCTGGCCGCGCCCAGGTGCGCCGCCGCCGGCGGCGGGTAGACGGGTCGGTGCGGCGGCGGCGGCGCCGCCGGCAGGTACGGCGAGGCGCTGCGGTCGCCCCCGTGCGCCGGCGCCGGCCGCGGCGGCAGGCGCAACTCAGCCGGCGCCGGCGAGCGGCCGTGCGGCGGCTGCGACAGCGCCGCCGGCTTGTAGCCCGGCTGACCTGGGGACAGAGGGTGCCGTCAGCGCACGTTCACACTGTGACCGCCGGTGGCGCGTTCACACGGGTGGTCCGCCCGGCGACATCTGCGGTGCCACAAAGCCGCCCATCGCCAGCGGGGTAAACACTGACGTCAGTGCCGTGTGCGGCTCGCCGGCGTCAAGTATCCGCCCCGACAGGCCCGCAAGCCACACGGCGGCCACGTAAGCAACGGCACCGAGCGACCCTTCGACCCCACCGCCGACCGCAGCTGTCGTCAGCACCGACAGACGGAGCCGCCCGTGAGCACGGCGCCACCTACTCCTCGTCACAGGCTCGCACCGCCGCCCGGTGGATGCGAGCGTCCCCGCGCGTCCGTCTCCGGTCGGTGGCGCCCCCGGCGCGCGCCAGCCCGTCCTCCCCGGCCCACCACCACCACGTACCGGGCGCATGCGGCAGGAACGGGCTGTGACGGTCGGACGCCGCCGGTACTGGCGGCGGCGGCGGAGGCGGCGGAGGCGGTGGCGGCGGCGGCGGCGGCGGCTTGGCCGAGTGCGCCTGCACGCCCCGCACGTGGTCGTAGTAGGCCATGAAGTCGGCGGCGTAGCCGGGCCGCGCCGGCGCCGGCGCCGGGCCCGGCTCCGGCTTGTGCGCGGCCGGCGGCTCGGTGCTCTGGTACAGCCGGTGTATCGAGTCGCGGATCATACGCTCCGGCTCGGAGCTCTCGCCGCCGCGCACCGACTCGTAGCGGCTGGGCGGCGGCGCCGGCGCGCCGTGCAGCCCGGCGCCGGGGCCCGACGGCGCCGGGCCCAGCCGGCCCTGTCGGCACGGGTCAGCGGTCAGCGGGGGAGAGCGCACACGGCGAGGGCGGGTCACGCAGACACGGGGCACCGCGCAGGAACACGGGGCAACGGCGCGGCAAAGCGTGGCGCTGTCGTACATACCAGCGGTGGCAGGCGTTCAGGTATGCTGTCGAGACGTCAGTCACCCACAAACACAGCGTTTTTACGGTGGCCCTCTCCACATCGTCAGCGACGCTGCGGCCGGTCCCGAAGCCCCCCCCCCCCCCTTCCCCTCCCCGCACTCGCTCCAGGAGCAGCAGCCTCCCTGCCGGCGCCGTGTGTTTGCCACAGCCCCCCCCCCCCCCCCCGACCGCGGCCTTCAGCAGATGGCACCGGCCGGGCGCGCCGGTTCGTAAACAGACCCATTGGGTGGACGGCGTGCGGCCGGCTGGTCAGCTATTGCCGGCCGCGCCGGTCAGACGGGTTTTTATCGGGGCGCGGCGGCGGCGGCCCGACGCCAAACGCGGCGCACCACGTGCCGGACGGCGGCTGGGCGCCTGGCCGGCAGCGAGGCCCGATCCCGCCGCGCACAGCACGTGTCCTGGAGCCCACGCGGTGTTTGGGTTCGGGGTCGGCTACAGAGACCGACCGGGCGCGGCCCAGCACCCGGCGTAAATAAATACAGAGGCCAGCCGCAGCCGTGGAGCTGGAGCACCAGAGGACACATCAGAGCCAGGCACACCCGGACACACGGGCGCACCCCTGGAGGCATTGATACAGCTCCAGAGAGCACCCATGGAGGACTTGGAACAGCTCCAAAGGGGCGCGCCCCTGGAGGCATTGATACAGCTCCATAGAGCACCTGGCATACAGGCATTGATGCATTGATACAGCTCCAGAGAGCACTCGTGGAGGACTTGGAACAGCTCCAACGGAGCGCGCCCCTGGAGGCATTGACAAACCTCCAGAGAGCACCTCTGGAGGCCTCGGGTCCAAGGGGCGCTTCGTCTCGTCGTCATCATCGTCTCCGTCCCTCCTCGTCGTCGTCGTCATTGGGGCTTCACGACACACTCAGCTGCTGACGCTACATGGCGTCGCCTTCCTCTTACCCTGGCAGGAAGGGCGGACACCGCGAGGAATCGAACTCCGTATTTCTGATCTCTTAGACGGGCCTCGTTAACCACCACACCATCGGTACCCGGGGGGGGGGGGGGGGGGGGCTATCTCTGGAAGCTCCGTCAGAGCTCCAGAGGGGGCGGGATGCGTTTCTGGCGGCCTCGTGCCGTGCCAGTGCACCTGCAGTCACAGGAAATCCTGACATCTCTCCTGGGCGATGTCCAGTTCGCGGGCGCAGTGGGGGGGGGGGGGGGGGGGGAGGGGAGAGGCAGCCACAATCGTAGGCACTCCGAAGAAACGGCGACGGGAATGACTCACTATCAGCTTTCAACACGCAACACCACAGCGCTTGCCCTAAATGTTTCCAAACCTGGCCGCCGCACAGCCCACCCTTCCGAGCTCCGACCATACGTCCCCGACAACGGTGCCGAGCAGGGAGACCGCGGCGAGACCGCCGCATCGCCGGCCCCGTGCTCAACCTTCGGCCTGTTGTTACCACCAGCCCGCCTCAGCGCGGTGAGTGACGCCACAGCGACCAGCCGCCACGCTACGCGGCCTCGGGTGCGGGCCAGACAACACACACCCCGGTCCCGCTACGCCGGCAGCCCGCAGGAATTCAATGGCACGAGCCCAACCCCTGTTGACATTCATGAGCGCTGAGACTCCCCCCCCCCCCCCCGTCCACGAGCGCATCAGATGGGCCTCGTATGGCATGCCCAGTGACCCGAGCGCCGCGACACGGACCAGAGCGGACGCGACGTGACCTCCCAGTCAGCGTTCACGGGTCCCGAATCAGCCGGAGACCCGCTTCCTCCCCCCCCCCCCCGATCACCGTGACGGGGCGACTGGAGAGTGGAGCTGGCGACACGCTGCTCGAGAGCCTCGGCCGCGGCGTGTCCCCTCTCCGGGGGGCGTCACTGCACCACGCCCTGCGGTGGCGCAGCAGCCGGCCGCCTGCGGGCGCCGCGGAGCACCGGCCGGCGGGCCGGCGCCGGGTGGACAGCAGCGCCGCGCCGCTCGTGCGGACGGACGGCGGCGGCGGACCGAGCGGACACGCGACACTGGGGCGGCAGCAGGGAGCGCGGCGACGCCGGACAGAGACGCGCCGCCCGCGGCCGAGGCGGCCGGCCGGACGGAGCCGGACCGGTCGCCACATCAGCCGCCGTCAGCCTCACGTGACTCGGAACCGTCAGCCTCACCACGGGGTGGCTGGCCCGAAGAAGACACCGCACCTCGACCCCCGACCCACGGCAATGCGGGGCGGGGGCAGCAACGGCTCCCGCCGCAAGACTGGGCCCCGGGACCGGCTCACTGTCCAACGGTCACGAACTGCTGCGGAATTCGGCCTGGGGCTCGCTGCTACGAAGACGTCAGCTGATCGTGGGGTAGAGCAGGGAGTCCAAGCGTGGTTGGACCAGCTCCGGCAGCCGCACAGCCGGCAGCGGAAGTCAGACCAGGCCAGATCAGGCCAGACCAGACCATGTCAGACCATGTCGGACCGCGTCAGCCAAGACCAGACCAGACAAGACCGAGCTAGACAAGACAAAATTAAACCAGACCAGGAATTGCCCAGAAAAGACCAGACCCGACCCGACTAGACCAAACCAGACCAGACCACACCACGCCATACCAGACCAAACGGGCCGGACAGCGCCACAGCAGCAGCGCAGCCGCCGCTCACGCAGGTGCGCAGAGCGCCGAGCAGGACACGCAGTAATGGGATTACGGCCGCCATGAAAGCAATCTCCTGCGGGCGAGAGTTCGCCGAGAGCTGACCTTTTCGACAGCCTCCCCATCCCCAACCCATTCAGCCTCTCCATCCCCAACCGGCCGCTGGGCATCCGGGCGGAGGGGAGGGGAAGTAAGGGACCGTACTTCTAGGAAGTGACGAACCTTAGGACCACAGTCCGTGCTCGATTTCCGCGCACCCCCTAACCTGAGAGTCGATCCCCGAGCCGCGACGTTGAGCGCGCCTCTGCGACGTGCGAGCCACCCAAATAAGAGCGGAGCAGAGGCCCGCCACGCGACCTCCCGGAAGCCGGCGCCGTGGCCGCGGCCGCAGCCTCGCCGCCGGATGACGCGGTCAGGTGGCGATCGCGCCGCGCCCTGTCCCGGGACCGTTATCAGCGTCGCGTCGCGGCCGGCGCGCGCCCCTGACGTCAGCGGCGGGCCGCCGGCGCACCCCGGCGTTTGTTTGCTCGCGCGCTGCCGCGCTGCATATGGCCGCGACCGCGCCAGGACAACTGCAGTGGAGCACGTGACGGGCGCGGCATGACGACGGCCGGCAAGAACGACACGCGGCGGTCGGGCGCATCGATCCACGCGCCCAGCGTACACTGTAAACCACGTCCGGTCTGCGGTGCTGCAACATGGTGCGGGGTCGTATGTCGTCGCTGATCGCGGCCGAGCACGGCTGTTCGGGGTCTCGGCCGCGTGGAGGGCGCCGAGGCTGAGCAGCGGCCGGCTGGAGCACCGCGCGATGACGTAGTCGCACGCAGTCCATGACAAACAACGACGTGACATGACATGACAAACGACGCGTGTCACTCTCAGGTGCGATCGTCCATGGCCGCACGAACTCCAGTCAGCCTCAGCGCGACTGACGCTTCACGTGCGTGCGAACAGCGCGGCATGTGGAGCAGCACCTTCACCACTCGAAGCACAATTGGTTAATTGGCGGCACGGCGGCGGCGACAACAGCTTTCCCCGGGCGGAGCGCGCCGCCCCGCGCCCGTCAGGGGCCGCTGCGTGAGGTACTCCCCCGGCGCCCGTTACCTCTGCAGCGCGGCGAGGCGCGGGCGGAGTCACGGGTCGCACGGCAGCGGGCGTGACTCAGCATGCGACCCGAGCACTCGCGGTGGGGCGGCCTCAGGCGAACTCGGCCAACCGCCATCCGCCGGCGGCGCCCAGTCATTCCCGGACAAACCACCACCGGCCGGTTTCGTAAAACACGCTCTATCGACAATGGAGCGCAACGCGCCGCAGGACGGGGGAGGGGGGGGGGGGGCAGGGCAAACACGTCGGCGGACCGTCACCCAGATCTTGATTTGATCGCCGCCCGCGCCAGTCGGCTCAAGGTCAGCCGCGCGGCCGCTGACAAAGCAGGCGCCGCGGTCGAGGTCGCGCGGGTCAGAAGGCCGCCGGCGCGCGTGGCCCGGCGGCCTCCGCAAGCTGTCGCCGGGTCACGCGGGTCAGGACGCCACGGGCGGCGCGCCGGCCGCTCCTCCGCCGCTGGCACGCTGCCAGATCCGCCGCGCGCCATTCGGGGAAGCGCCGCCCCGCATCTCGAGGTCATCTGCCGACGAAGCGCTCGGCCCGCCCGGCTCCGGCAAGGGGGGGGGGGGGGAGACGACGTGTCCCGCCGCCGCTGAGACGGCTCGGCCCGCTCGGCTCCGGCGGGGTGAGGGGGGAGGGGAGTCGGCGTCTCCCGCTGCCGCTGGGACGGCTCGTTAGGCGTGCGCGCGAGAGTTCAGCAGCAGCTCACTGAAGCCACGCTGTCAGCGGCGGAAGGAGGAAGGGGTAGCCGTCTCCCCCATCTGTGTGGAGCATTCCACCTCAACGCCTGGCGTCGCACGACACAAAGAAGGAAAATCGCGTTTGCCACCACACATCCGGAGGATCCGCCGTCACTGCGTCCCACCGCTGGCCGACCGACCCGGCTCCAGCAGCAGCAGCAGCCGCCGCTCCGCGAGTCCGGGAGAGCGCGACCTGAGCGGGCCGGCGCGGCGGCGGCAGCGGCTCGCGACGCCAATCGATCCGCCATCTGGCCAGGGGCCGACGGCTCTCCCGCGGCGACGGCAGCGGCGCCGGCCGGGCAGGTGCGCCCCACCGCGCGGCGGATCTGACGTCACCGCGCCGGCGGCGGAGGACCGCCGCAGGCCGGCGGCGGCGGCGGCGGCGGCGGCGGCGAGCGACCGGCAGACATCCGGGCAAAGGACACTAAGCGACGCGACAAAGCAGGGCAGTTGAGAACGTCCGAAGATCGTGCGTGAGTTTGGGAGGCGGAGCGCCCGCGCGATGCACGGCCGAGGTGCCTGCGTTTGGGACACGAACGGCACGCCCAGAAGCGCACAGAATGCATGCGAGGCCGAGTCCACGGCCAAATGGCTTGATCCCCGCCACCCGCCTCGCGCCGACCCCGCTTCTATCCGCCGCCGCGCCGGCCGGACGACATGGAACGTCCGACAGCACGCGCCGAGCGGGGTCACGACCCGCGCCGGAGCCGCGTCCCCTCGGGCGGCAGCAGCCTACGCCGGCGGCGCGCCGGCTGTCGGCAGGGCGGGCGGAGCGGTCGCGAGCCTCCAGCGGGTAACCACGGCCGCGACCCGGGGCGGTCGGCCGGCGACCTGGCGCGGCCGATGCAGATCGATCGCGTCATACGTGTCGAGCGCGCGCCTCGGTCAATAGGGCCGCTGACGGCGGCGGCTGGCCAAGCCGCGCGCGCGCGCGCACCTGTCGTCATGGCGATGGCGCGCGCTCCGCGGCTGATCGCGCCGGCCGCGCGGTGCGGGCCCGACCGGACGCTCCCACCGCGCTTCCCACGGCAGCGGCCGTTGACTTTTGGCCCCGCGTCTTTGTTGGCGGCGGCGGCGGCGGTCGCGCCCAGCTGCTCCTACCCCAACAGCAGGTGTCCGAGGGGTCGCGGCCGGCACTGACGGGGTGAGGAGCAGGTCATGTGCGTGCGCACTGGGGCAATCGGCGGGCCACGGGCCGCTGCTGCAGACGGGCGGTGACGCGCCGGCCGGTTAATCCGAGTCAGGGACCGGCTCCGCCGCCGGTGGGCAGTCGAGCTCGTTCGAAGTGCCGGGAACCGGTGGGATAGGTCGACTGGGGCTTACGACGATACGGCGCCGTGAGTAGGCTACAGATAGCCGTATCGCACACGCCTTGCCGAATAAGTCAACAGCCGAACGTTGTTCAGCGGTTTTACGATTTGCCTACGTCATACGCCTTACTGACGAAGTCCACACTTCGATCACACACACACACACCTCGATCCGCCGTCGCCCGCGCCATGAGCCTAGCCCTCGTCACCCGGCGGCCCCCTCCAGCAGCGATCTTCACCGCCGCCCTGAGGCCGCCGGCCGGCCTCTCCAGTCGAACGCCGGCGGCGGCGGTGGCTTCCTCGCGGCGCCAGCGGCCGCGCCGCCGCCGCCTTTGTTCTGCCGGACGGCGCGGCCGCCGACGAGCGGCTGACCGGCGCCGCCGTCGCCGGGCTGAGAAACGGCGCGGCGACGCGGGCCGCCATTGGTATGCCGGCCGAGGATCGCGCGGCGCGGCACGCGGCCGGCGCCGCTGATTGATGGTGATCCAGGCGTGGCCGGCGCCGACAGATCGCCGCCGCCGCCGCGCGCGCGCGCGTCATCACTAGGGGCAGAGCAGAGGTCACAGGGCAGAGGCCACCTGGTCGACGAGGCCGCGGAAGCCCACAGACACGCTGCAAAGGCCAGCGGCATTAGCCGGGGGCGGCGCCGGGCCCGGCGGCGCCGCCGGCCGGCCGCGGCGTGCATCCTGCAGAGGTCGGCCACCCCTGACCGGCGCGGGGCAGCGACAGCCCACCGCCACCTGCCGCCGGCCACCGGTCGGCGGGGCTCCGCCGCCCACCGTCCCGCCCGCCCTGACACCCGGCGCACGTGGGGCGGCAGCCAACCCCACGCCGCGCTGACAGGCGTCCACGTGCGCGCCGACGACCGGCCGGCCGCCTGCAGCCGCGCGCCAGCCTTGTGCCGCCGATCGATCGGCCGCACAAGGCCGCGCCACGCTCGCCGCGCCGGGCACGGGCGCGGCGGCGGCGGCGGCGGCCGAGCGGCCGCGCGCGGGCAGCGGCTCCAGGAACGGGCGGCGTGCCATGCAGCGTCACGACAGCGCGTCCCTCCGCGCCGGACTCGGAGACGGCGGGAAAGCCGCGCCGCCGTCGGCCGGCCGGGCCCACGCCAGCTCTCCGGCCGCTGGCCGGTCGGAGGGACGCCCCCGTCCGCCGCGGCCCCGCCGCAGTCCCGCCGACGGCCCGTGACTCAGCCGCCGCCACGGACGGGGCGTGAGTCACACCGGGCTGCTATTGACCGGCGTCCGACCGGCTGGCCGCACCGGCCGCGCCGGCAGCGGCGCGCGGCGGCCGCCGGGTCGCGACGCGCCTCGCCTCTTCCCGCCCGGCGGCGGCGGTGGGAGTGCGCCGCGCCGCCCGATTGCCGGCTTCCGGTGCCGGCCGGGCGCCAGCGGCGGCGGAGCCGGTGACGCCGCGCCCCTGGAACGCCGCTCGTGCCGGAAGCGCCCCGGGTTGGCTGGTGTCTTCGCCCGGGCCGCCGCTTCCGCGAGCGCTCTGTCGGGCCGCCCTCGGCAGTCAGGCAGGGAATCTCGGACAGCGCGCGGAACGGCACGCCGCCGGCCGGTCGGCGTCTCGCGTCTCGGGTACGATCGCGTCCGAGCGACCCGGTGCGGCGTGCGTGCGGACTCGGTCCCGCTCGGCGGAGCCGACGCTTCCGTCAGCTGTCGACGAACGGCAGCGCGACTTCGCTGTCAGAGCACGTTCCCGCTCCCTATTGGCTATCGCTACATTTCTGACGACTTCGTCCCTCTGCCGCACCGTCAGGCGGCAGTGGGGCGGCGTCGGGCGGCCCAGCCTTTAACTGTGTCAGCGCCAACTCGGATAAAAACAGGCGGCGGCGCCTCGCCGGACCCTCCCCACGTCACGTGCCGCCGCGGGCGCGCGCTGGCAGCGCGCCAGCGCGTCCGGGAAAGTGCATCTACAGGGCCCGCACGTCAACACAAGGCCAGCGGCGCCGCCGCCGCCGCCGCCGCCGCTGCTGCCGCTGCCGCCGGGACAAAGAGATCGCGCTCCCAGGCGGGCGGCCGGCGACGGGAGGTGGAAGGCGGGACGGCCGTGTCCCTGCCCTGCGGCCGGCTCTGCCCGGCGCGCGGCCTGACACCATCGCCGCCGTTGCATAACGCCGGCGAGCCCGGCGCGGCGGCGGCGGCGGCGGCGGCGGCGGGGCCAGCCTGTGCAGCATGCGGGCCGCCGTCAGACCGAGGTCGCGGCGGCCGGCCGCCGAGAGATACCCGACGACCGGCAGCCGGCGCCGGCGCCAGAGCCGCGCCGCCGCCCACCAGCCCATCTGTGCTCGCTCCGCCGCCATCCAGCGCATTTACTACTATTGGTGAATATATCGTCTACTGGCGTCTACCCATGTTCGCATTATCAGCATCTATCTCGTTTCCACATTACTGTTATTTCCCTGGTGATGGGTAGCGGGTGATTCCACTCGTATCGCACTGAACCCATCTCCAGTGGCGCCTGGCTTATTTCTGGTTGCCAGGCAGCCCAGCAGACCACACCAGACGGTACAAACAAGGCGCCACCACTGCACCACACGGCCCCCGTCAACCCGGCGGGCTCGGCACCCTCCACATCGCCGCCCACCTTCTGCTGCAGCAGCCGCATGGACTCGGCGAAGTGCTGCGACACCGCCTGCTGCTGCTTCTTGCGCTCCTCCTCCTGGCGTAGCTCCTCACGCTGTTGGCGCAGCCGCTCCGCCTCGCGCTGCTGCTTCTCCACCTCGCGCTGCTGCTTCTCAGCCTCGCGGCTGCTGTCACGGCTGTGGGAGAGGCGGGGGTCAACTGGGGCGAGGCGGGCGCGAAAGCACGAGACCGCGTCAACTTCGCTAAGACTCAGGGATGGACCGGGCGCCGAACCAGCGTTGTTGCGGTGGAGCGACAGTCGGCGCAGCTGGCCGCTCGACCTCGCTCACTGGCCAGAGCTCATCGCCGTACATCAACACCACCCACACCTCCCGGCCCGCCGTCGTGGCTGCCGCGCCCGTCGGCCAAACCCATCCAAAGCCCCCCTCCCCTTCCCCCGATCCGCGTCCGCCACCTGTAGCGGAGCCACGGGCGGCCCCGCCCCTCCGTCACGCCACCGCTCGGGAGAGAGCACGTGACCGGTGACGTCACCGCCCGACCAGGACGCGGCCGGCCGCCCGCGAGCGAACGAAAACAAGCCGCCGCCGGCTCGGCGCGCGGGGCGACGTCCTGGCCACCGCCCCATTCACGGAAGCCGCAGCCGCAGGCCTGCCGCCGGCACGTTCCGCCTAACGTTGCGAAACGCGCTCGCGATGCGCTCGCGGGTCGCGGAGACGCCGCGGCACCGGCGCGCCCATCGCGACGTCGCCGCCCGTTGCCCAACCGACGCACAAAGCCGGGGGCGCGCGCTGGCGCGCTCCGATGGAACGCTTCCCATCGGGCGAAAGCGGGACGGGCGGCGAGCGGCGGCGGCCAGCACGTGGCCGCCACCGCCGCCGGGCTTCTACGCGGCCCGTGCCGGACCACTACGCGCGTCAGAAGCACGGGGACCGGCGCTTGAGCGCGGCGCGCGGGGCGGCGGCACGTCCCCGGCCGGGTCATGATGAGCCTGGCGGGCGCAGACGGCGCAACAGGGCAACGGCACGCTCTCGGCTAGCTGCCAACGGCACGAGAGTGAGGGCAGAGCACTCCCAGTGGTGCGCGCCGCGGCGCGCCGGCATGGCGGAGAGGAAGAAGAGGAGGACGAGGACGAGTGAAACACTGCGTGCAGCTAAGTGAGACAAACTCAAGTCCCATGGGAAAATATTTCAGCCAGCGCGGATTCGGATTTGACGAGCAGCGCGGGTGCTTACATGATCACGGCAATTCACAAGGCCAGGTCCCGGTGTATCCGAATTGCAGCCGCAAATGGAAACAGGGCAGAGCGGCGACACATGCAAGCAGCTGTTGGCGACACTAGCGGAGCGACGCACTGAGGGCTCTCTAAGACAATGGCGGCAAAGGTTGCGGTCTGAAAACGGAGACAGCTTTACCGGTTTGTAGCATATCTGAAGGGCGCTGGGCCGCCGCTTCGGCCCGCGAGGGCGGCAGGGGAAGGGGGAGGGGAAACGGACCGAGGGGACAGTCGACCGTCCAGGCGCGGCAGGGCGGGACCCAGCCACGCAGAGCAGCCGAGTTTGCTCCGCTCCCCCCCCCCTGCCCGCCGCCCCTCACCCCCACCACCACCAAGCACTACAGGGCCTCACCCTTTCCGCCCTCATGCCCGCCCGTCACCCAGGTGATTTTTCTTCAATGACGTTATCGTATCGTGTCACGCGAATACATAAACGACATGCCACGGTGCGGACGGCCGACAGCGACCAAACGACAGCACCATGCTGCAGGCGCGCACGACTTGAGGAGGGAACCTCGCGTGCGGTGGGCCGGTCTCCTCCGCAAGCGCGTACAACTTGAGGAGAGAACCGTGCGTGCGGTGAGCCGTCTCCTGCGGTCTCCTCCGCCCCGGCTCCGGCCGCCATCGAGAGGTCAGACGTTCGCAGCCGCAGGTCTGCGGTACGGGCGACATCACTGCGGTCGCCGTGGCGGGCGGCGGGCTTCCTGCGGTCGGGGGTGCAGCGGGCGACACCCGCGGTGCCTCTGAGACGACGGCGACGGCGGCGCCGGCCACGCCGGGAGCACCGCGGCGTTTTTGGCCGACCCGCCAGCACTCGGATCTAAGCGCAGCGTGCCTTTGATGCAACAAACCACATCCTCAACAGAGATAGATGGTGACAGGTACAAAGGCGGATGAGTAAGTCAGCGATTGGACGCCAACCACGCGGCGGGCGGTGCGGGCGCCGGTGGGTTCCGACCGGCTCCGGGCTCCTCAGCGGCGGAGCCCCATCCGACAGGCAGGCACACAGCAGGACCGCCGACACTTGATCTCGCCACCCGGCTGTTGGTGCTGGCGGCGGTCCAGGCCGGGCCGCGACCGCGGAAACCCGGGATCCCGCCGGCATCAGCTCGCCAGCCGGGTCAGTGAGCCGACCCCGCGCGACCACGCGGGTGCCGGCCGGGCGCCGGGCGCCGGGCGTCGCGGCCGCGCCTGCAGCCCCTGACGGCGGCCGGGCGTCCCCCCCCCCCCTCCCCCACCCGAGACTCGTCGGGCGCCACGGCTCGAGCCGGGCAGCGGCGCCGGACGCCCAAGGCCACGCGGTGCCAGCGCCCGCTCAACGGAGCCGGACTGGGACAGCTGCCTGTCGACACGTCTCTGGCGCTGGTCGGCCAACTTCTGCGGAACTTTGAGGAAGTTTGGCCGTTTAGGAGCGAGGCACGCGAGACGTCGGCACATGAGCGGACGACTGGGTACTTCTGCCTGTTTCGGGGAGAAGATGGTGCGAAGTTACCGTGGCCAGACGTCAACAGCGACCAATGATCGACTAATATATGGTGCGCGTCCGCCCCGTCAGTGCTAAATCAGGCAGAAGGAGTCGGCACAGCCGCGCCGTAATTGGCAGACCTCCCGACTGAATGCCGGCAGACATGTAAGCCGATAACGCATCAGTTCGCCGCCGCTTGTAGAAGGGAAACCATCGGAAATGGCAGTAAGCGGCTTTTGCACGACAGGAAAAGCCGCGTAAGCTGAACTCAAGGCAATGCCTACTGGCAGCAAACCGTTCCCAGGACAGAAGGCACCCGAAGCACGAACGTGTCTTCCGCCCGACGCACGCTGGGTGTCCACCACAAGCACGCCCGAGTTGCCCGTGTCAGCGAGCGATCAATACAGGCGGCTAAAATTAGCCCCCAAGCACCCCCGAAGCGCCCGTCATTGCAATCCGCCGAACTGCATCGCGTCAGGAGTCGAGCAAGCGTGACGCAACGCTGGATACGTAGTCGGTTATGAAGCGGTTGTTTGTGGGGCGTCACCATGGCAGCAGGTTGTTCAGATGGAAAAACGCAACTCTTTTTCTTCTTGTTCGCAGGCGTGCAGCCGCGCACAAAACAAGACAGCGTGCAAAGCACTGTGTGCACTAGACGCATGATTGTTAGTTTGTCGGCTGCCAAGCGACGCCCGACTCCTAATTCGCCGATCGCCGTCGGACGGACAACCAGTTGCAAGAATGCGGCGCGGATCGATGCGCGCCGCGGCTGCGACCACCCACGTCGCGCCGCGCGCGGAGAGCAGAGCGACGACAGCACCGCACGTGCGCTGACTGACGACACGCGCGAGCTGATCGGCGCGGCGGGGCTGGCTGGCCACGTGCCCGCCCGGGACGTGACACTACGCGCGGCCCACGTGAGCGCCTGCGCCGCCTCCCGCGTCCCGCGCCACCCGCCGGCCGACGCCCACCGCCAGCCAGCGCCGCTCGACAAACCGGCTCCGGACGCGTGGCGGCACTGGTGGCCGCTCACGCCTCCCCGCACGCGGTGGCAGGCCGATCGCCGCTATCAGGAGTCACGCACCGCGAGGTCGGCCAACGAGCGCAGGGTCGCGATAGGCCGGCATCACGTGTGCGGTCGTCAAAGATGGCACCGCGTGTGGCCATGCACAACTGGGTCACCACAGGGCACGACCGCATTCTCCCGTATCAATTTTTTTTTAGAGCTGTGCCAATGTATGCTAGAACGCGACGCTACACAGCGCATACTTCGGGCCCGACTAGTTGCAGCGTTAACAAACAAGGCGTATGCACTCGATCTATGCTGCGTTCAGCGTATGCTGCGATCAGCCGACTACTGCACGCGCCTCGTCAGCAAGCGCTCGGCGGCGCTCACGGCGATCCGTCCAGTCCTCGGGGCCGCATTCTCCGCCGACTCAGAGGCTCCGATCTGCTCTCCAGCCCGGCGAAGGCCTCCGGCAGTCAGCCTCCACCGGAGATCAGCAGCGAGCTTCACTATGCCACGTCCACGCGGCCGGGCTGCCGCGGCGCGCGCTTACGTAATGCAGCCGCTGTTCGCGGCCGTGCTGTCGGCAGACGAGTCGCCGGGACTGCCGCGCCTGTCAGCCGGCCGCGCCGATCAAAGGTCACGTCCCGGACACTGTGCCGCGCGCGCGCGCTCGGCGGTGTGCCCGACGCGCACCGCCAGCGCGGCAAGCGGCAGGCGGCAGGCGGCCCGGGCCTGGACACTTGGCGGGGTCGCGGGGAGGAGGGACTGGGGAGGGGAGGGGGCGTGGCGAGAAAAGACGCTCAGGTAGGGCTGGGGAGGGCGGAGGGGGGGGGGGGGGAGTGTCGAGAAGAGACGATGTTGGGAGGACTGAGGGAAGCCTTGATGGAGGACGACTGGGGAGAAGCCCGGAGGGGAAGGACAGGAGCAAGACACCCAACAAAAGAAAGAATGGGTACACTGATTCCATCGACTTCATCCACTCCATATTGCTGCTGTTCCTTGATCGCCCAACGCTCCATCTCGTGACTGGACCGAGAAAACTCCCGTAATGATGGCCTAGAGGACCAGCCTGACGGCCGCCGGCCGGTTCGGCCGCTCGTGCCAGCCGCGCGGGCGCGCGTCCGGCCGCGCCGTGCTTGGCCTTGCCGCGTGCGAGCTGCGGCCGGCGCATTCCCAGGCCGTCGGCAGCGCCGGCCCGGGAGGGGCGGGACCGGCTCGAGTCCAGGGGAGGGGCGACACGCGCCGCCGGTGCCGGCGGTCACCGGAGGCGGCGACAGCTGACGCTGGACACCGGACACCGGACGCGGCGGCCGCCGACGGATCGCCGCGGCGTCGCCCCGTCGCGCCGCCTGACGTCGGACCGACGCTCGGGTTCGAGCGTCGGCCGGCGCGCGGTCGACGGCAGGAGCGCCAGCCGGCCGAGATCGGA